GAAAGAAAAGAGAGAGAGAGAGAGAGAGAGAGAGAGAGACAGAGAGAGAAGAGCCAGAAAGAGAGAGAAAGAGGTGAGACATTAGGCTCCACATGTCTCACCAAAGACATGGAGGAAGCATCGCTGCTATGCCACGTTGTATGATCCCACCAGTGGCCATCCAAATCTCCTGCGAGTGCCACACACACACACACACACACACACACACACACACACAATCGCAGCACACACACATACAGCAGAAGTAGTTTGTGAGGACAAAGAAAACATAGACATGTGGGGAAAAGAGACACTAAATTCACTCAGTCATAATGTTAAACGCATTAGTCGCACTCATACTTACACTCACGCTTACTGTACATTTATTGTTACACTCATAGCCGTATTTATGCAACTTAACTATGACAATTCAGGCAAGGAACAAGAAAACCAACGACTTGCCCCTGCTAACTGCAACAAAACTACAGAAGAGGTCAAACATTTGCACTGCTCAAAGAAACTTGGCTGAAGTTGCTATCTTCTACGTCTGACTAATAAGATCTGAAAAGATCTTGGGACTGGGCTGTAATACGCTTAATTTGAAGGAAAACACACACACACAATGCTCGAGCAGCCTGACTTGGCTTCAGTTTAAAATGCAGTCGGTGCAAACTCCGAACTGCGTTCCTGTGTTTGGAGAGATATAACATCATCTGGTATATGACCAGTGTTGGGGAGTAACTAGTTACATGTAACGGAATTACGTAATTTAATTACAAAATAAAAGTAATTGTAATCAGTTACAGTTACTAAGAAAAACTTTGTAATTAAATTACAGTTACTTATGAAAATGTTAAGGATTACAAAGGGGGTTACATCTGATTTTTTACATCAGATTTTTTCCCGCACACTCCCACATACAGATTTAATTGAGTTCTTTCATAAATTGAAACACCAATGTTTCAGAAGTTTGTAACATGCTTATCCGATAGGGTTTATGTATATGCTTTATTTTTTTTTAAGGTTAACTGTTTAACTTTTTTTCTAAGCCATTGTTAGATTCCAGTGTTTCCTGTCATAGCTATGCAAAGATTTGATTTCAAAAACAGTATCATAGCGACTAAATGGAGTCACTGGAAATGGCATCATCAAATATGACGTCAACCGATATGACATCATAATCAGATATAAAACCATTAAATATAGCACAGTGCTTGATCAGATCAAATATGACGTTGTCCGAATATAACATCACATATGGCTTGATTAGATACAGCATACATCTAAATGTAACAACAGATATATTATCAACAGTGCTATTTTAGTAGCTTAGAAAACATTATAGTTTTTATTTTTATTTGGATATTTTATCTTTTATTTTTATATTTTCTGTTTTCATTTTTAGTCATTTTGTTATGTGCTTTTGTCATTTTATTAGTTAGTGTGTTTATTGTATTTTTGTAGTTATTGTATTTTATTTCAGTTGGTCATTTATTATATTATATTATAATAATATTATATCACTTTTTATATATTATTATATAATAATTACGCCAAAAAAATGTCATAAATGCTGTCAAAATTTGTATTTTTACTGGTTTGTAATTTTCAGTGCATAAATCTTGTGATTTCCAACAAAACCTCATCTATGCTAGCCAGTTTCATAATTTTAACTAGAAGACATGTTTAAAGAGTTGACAAGCAGAACATGCAATCACATTTCACAAAAAAACAAAAAAATTAAACTAGGTCCTTATTGTTGAGCCCTGTAAATCTGAATAATGATGGGTAATATATTGATGCACATCTCTCTTTAATTACCACTCAGACCTAGTAAGAGTCTGCTAAGAACACAGAGTACTGAAACATGAATGTAACCCTGACCGACTCCTTCAAACCTTTTCTCTTGTTCTGTCTGCACATCTGCTGATCGATAGAGAGAAGAACAAAGAGAAAGAACACTACACTAAATCACACGAGGGTCTCCCGCTGCACGTCAACGTTTTTACAAAGCTTTAATGCAGGCCATCCCATTTCATGGAGATACAGGGTGTTTCTGCTGACAGTTTAAAGAGCAGAAGACATAAATCAAATGCATAGCTGACAATAATTATATCTGTAATGTGTCATAGGGGAAAGCTCCACCCCAAATGTTTTGTCCATTACATAATTCGCCATGAATCGTATGAGGTTTTACGGCTGCTTTGAGAGCAGGTCTGAATGCAGAGCGAGCCGAGAGCCAATCACAGTGTCTTATCCCGAGCCGAAAACAGGCCTGCAGCCAAGCGGATGCCATGGTAACCTGCTTTCACCTCATTACGTCTGATCCTCAGACAGGCAGAAGGCAAAACAAATAACGTCAAATCCTGCAATCCGGAAGACTGAAATATAAACTGTCTGCTAGTCTGCTTTAACAAAACAAAGAAGAACAACCAGTTCAAGTTGATCTGTTCCAGTGTCCAAAGACATCAGATGTCAAAAGTGATATGCAAGTTTTTGCTGTATTTAAAGAAGCGTTTTTTTTCCAATGTTAAAATTCTTTCCTACCTAGTTTAATATACAATATTGGAAGGTTGCATCATTGTGGCACTTTCCAAACCCAGCTCTCACTGCCTCTGAATATGCGTACTTCCATACTATATTGTAGAGTATGCAAAAACAGTGCATCAAATGAGATGTCTGAATAAGCAATGATGATAAAAATGTACACTACTGTACAAAGTGTGTTGTTCAAAAGGGGTCAAAAGGTCATTTTTAAAAGGCGGCTCTTTTGCTCACCAAGGCTGCATTATTATCATTATTTTTTAAATTACAGTAAAATCCGTAATATTGTGAAATATTATTACAATATTACAACAGCTGTATTCTAGTTTAATATTTTTTTATATATATAATTTATTCCTGTGATGGCAAAGCTGAATTTTCTCCAGTCTTCACTGTCACATGATCTTTCAGAAATCTTTCTAACAGGCTGATTTGCTGCGCAAGAAACATTTCTTATTTTTATCAGTGTTGAAAACAGTTGTGCTGCTTATTATTTTTGTAGAAACAGTGACAATTTTTTTTACAGGATTCTTTGATGATTAGAAAGTTCAAAAAGACAGCATTTAATTGAAATAGAAATCTGTTGTAACATTATAAATGTCTTTACTGTAAATTTACTGCATCCTTGCTAAATAAAAGTATACATTTAAAAAAAAACTAAAAAACTTTTGAACAGTAGTGTATTTTTACATGAGTTCAGTGGAGACCAGTAGAAATGAGATAAGCCTTAGAAAACGTGAAAAATTTTGAAATAATCAATAATAATTCACATCAGTTAGGCCTAGTCCAGTTTGCTTCACGCCAAATTCTAAACCACTAACAAAAACAAAATTACTCTGTCCATCTGCTATTGGTCAGACAGACAGGTAGCTCCGCCTCAAATTTACACCATTGGCTGATCCACTGTTGCTATGCCTGGCCAATCAAACAAACAAAAGAAATGTTTTGAAAGCAGCACTCTTTACACTTTTTCAGGGAAATCAGCCTACTTGCAGTTGTTTGAACTAGCACATTAAACTGAGATAGAAGAGAGTATTTTTTTATCATTACAAAACATTACAAAAAATAAATAAATACACACACCATAACTGTGTGTATTTAAATCAGCTGAACTAATATTACAATGATGAAATCCAGTAGAATGACTGATTATCTGGTTGTAATCATGCAGAAACGCTATATCCCTGTGCCGTATCTCCACTGCGCTCGGCTCTCATGTGCGATAAAGCTGACGGGAAAGGCAGTCTTATCTGGCCTGATGTGCTCTCCCCTCCTCTCTAAAACCCACCTGACCTTCAGAGAAAGCGTTACTCCTCTCCTCTGGTTATAAGTGTGGCTGTGAAACCTGGAAAAGCGGAACATCAATAATGTAGAGCTGTACGCTGGGTTTTGTCCTCGGGATGCTTATATAAGTGGCTCGGGCAGTTGTTCTCACTGCAGTTCTCCATCCCGCCTCCATCATCCAGACTCAATCACGCAACTTCAAAACTCATAATCTAATATGCAAATCTTGCCTTTTTGGATACATTACACCAAGCTTGTCACAATGTATTTTTGCCCACAATCCTGAACAAAAATAGTTGAATGGATATAAAAACTGCATCACTATATGAAAGAAAACTGCCAAACAAAAGGCACATATACATTAAAGTGCATTTGATTTGCTTGTAAAAAAAAAAAAAAAAAGAGAGAGAGAAATTGTATTTTTCAAATGCAAAGTAAAGGCTATTTTGGACCAATAGGATTTTGTGCATTTTATGTTATTTTCTGGACAGCTAAGCACATTACCACAATGCATCTAGACATTTTACTTTTACTTTTGTTTGTATTTCCTATTATTCTTAATGAAGATTCTCAAATCATTAAAAAACTGTAATATATATATATATATATATATATATATATATTAATTT